GAATAAACTATTAAATTAAAATATCAAGTTTCTGTGTAAAATGGAAATAAAACAGAATCTCATGATTTTTAATTTGACCAAAAACTGTACAATTTAACATATTGATTTTGAAGTGAGATTATAACTTATTGATTTATCTGCTTTGTTTGTTTTAGAGAYGCCAAAGCTTGTGTGATCCACGGTACCGACCTGAAAGACCTGACTCAGGARCAGATGGACGATATCCTGAAGAACCACACGGAGATCGTCTTTGCCAGAACCTCCCCTCAGCAGAAGCTCATCATTGTGGAAGGCTGCCAGCGACAGGTAGGTCCTTCTCCCTCGCCGCTCCTCGGGTCGCCGCTCCTCCTGGTTCTGATTGAGCTCTGTGTGTCAGGGAGCCATCGTGGCCGTGACGGGAGACGGTGTRAACGATTCTCCTGCCCTGAAGAAGGCAGACATCGGTGTGGCCATGGGCATCTCTGGCTCTGATGTTTCCAAACAAGCTGCAGACATGATCCTGCTCGATGACAACTTTGCCTCCATTGTTACTGGAGTAGAAGAAGGTAAGTGAGAAAACGAGAGGAAATGTGAGACAAAACGTGTTTATTATATTTATTTTTTATATTTCAGGGCGTCTGATCTTTGACAACCTGAAGAAATCCATCGCTTACACCCTGACCAGCAACATCCCAGAGATCACCCCCTTCCTGTTCTTCATCCTGGTCAACATCCCCCTGCCTCTGGGCACCATCACCATCCTCTGCATCGACCTGGGAACTGACATGGTGAGAAAAAAAAGATTTAACAATTTAAACATCTCAAATAAATGGACTTTTATGCACAGAAATAACCCCTACTGTAACATAACCAAACATATAAACTGTATTTATCCATGTTGAACCAGCTTCATCTGACAAAAACATCCAGTTAAAATGCTGTGTAGCTGCGTAAACAAACAAACAAACATCTGTTTTTATTTTAGTTTCCGTTTTAATCAGGCTTAAAGGAAGAAAACATCAAATAAAAAGGCACTAGGTGGCAGCGTAGGATCACTTTTATAAGGTTCTACATCAGGGATGTGTTCATTCTGCTCTTATTTAAGTTAGAAAAAAAATACAGAAACAAGACTTTTATTTGCAGCAGCTGTTTTTTCTTGATTTGTAAAAAATATAAGGTTGAATAAATAAAATTTATTTTACTTAAATGAGAAAACTGAGCTGCATATGTTATTTCTCATCTTTTAGCTTTTCTCACTGCTTGATTTCAGGCATGAAGTTTACAAAATAAAACAATATGTATTAATCATTTCAGCTCGTTTATTTATTTGTTTCTTTAAAAGGATCCTCGTTAGGACCACCGCAGTGAACATTACTCTTCCTGGGGTCCGACAAAACATAAAAACACGTTAAAATCAATCAATCAAAACAACTTCAACACCTCTAAAGAAAAACTACCAGCTTCACTGTTTCAAACAAAACAACACAATGAAAAATCATCACCACATAATTTCACATAAAACAAAAGTTAAATGTAGCTTTGCAGCATTTTACAGTTTAATACTGTAAAAAATGCTCAAGGAGTTAAACCTTTGTTGTTTATCTTTTTATGTTTTTTTTGTAATTTGAAGACTATTTTTGATTGAATTTATTTATTTGAGGAAAAGGGGCAGATATATTAAGGTTTTTTTCTTCTTCTGCTACCTTTAATTTAATTTACGATTTGTATTTTTATTGTATATTGAATTTATGTTGTTTTTAAAGAACTGAATAAACTTAAAAAATAAAAGAAAGGTTTTCACCGTGTCTAAAACCAGATGCTCACAGCTGACTTCCTGAATGATTTATTTATTTGTTATTGTTTCTCCTGCTTCAGGTTCCAGCCATTTCTCTTGCCTACGAAGCAGCAGAGAGCGACATCATGAAGCGGCAGCCGAGGAACCCGATGAGGGACAAGCTGGTCAACGAGAGACTCATCAGCATCGCCTACGGACAGATCGGTTGGTTTGTTTCCTGTTTCCTCTCCGGTTTGTTACTGGATGTTTGTTTGGAGGCATCCCTTCACCTTCAAGCACAAACTCTACAGGTCATTTTATCAGATTTAATTATCAAGTAAACATTTAAAACTTGGTGTTTCTGCAGGGATGATCCAAGCCCTCGGTGGCTTCTTTGCTTATTTTGTCATCATGGCTGAAAACGGTTTCCTRCCGGCGTTCCTGGTCGGGATCCGGCTGAACTGGGACGACCGCTCCAACAACGACCTGGAGGACAGCTACGGGCAGCAATGGGTGCGGCGCAGACTTCCTGTCCTCCCCAACAGAGTGGCTTCATTAATCTGAAACGTGTTCACACGTTCTGCCTCTCCTCTCTGCAGACCTACGAGCAGAGGAAGATCGTGGAGTTCACGTGTCACACGGCGTTCTTCGTCAGCATCGTGGTGGTGCAGTGGGCCGACGTCATCATCTGTAAGACCAGACGTAACTCTGTGTTCCAGCAGGGCATGAGGTGACTTCAGCACTGTGCTGTCATGTGGTTTTATTTTTATTTCTTTAGTTTAATCCCACAGATTCAYTGAGGGAACGATGTAACTGTCATTTTATTCTCCTGCAGGAATAAGATTTTGATCTTCGGCCTGTTTGAGGAAACGGCTCTGGCTGCGTTTCTGTCCTACTGCCCCGGGATGGACGTGGCTCTACGGATGTACCCACTCAAGTACGTCCCACCAGAACCAAAACTACCACAGGATCATGTTTTTTTTATTTTTAATTTGAATATGCACAAAATGTCTAGCTTCCCACTTATTACATAACAGATATCTCCATAGCAAATGAAAAAAAGAACAAAATAAATAAAACAAGGAAGCTCAAAATTATAAAAACCTGTACAACCAAAAAGCAAATAGATGAGTTGGTGTAATCAAAAAGGAGTAGAAGCATAGCTTATTATACCTCACCCCTTTGTTCCTTTAAATATACGTAACCATAAGAACCCATACACAYAAATACACACATTTATACTTTGTGATTCCCATTGTTTTCAATTTACAGGATTTCCATCTCAAATTATCATAACCAACTCAATTTGTAATGAACAATCTTAATCAACATCCTTCTCCAGCAACACATTATTTTAAATTGTCTGATATTTATATATTTTGTTCCATAGTCTAACTCCAGAAATAGATATACAAAAACCTTTCATGGTTGTTAAATAAATAAATAAAATTTCAAATTTATATTCCCTTCTAAATAAATCCTGAATATTTTTTGGTAACTGTCCATTATTTGCCTTATACATAATAATCGCTGTCTGATAAGATACAATATCAATAAATTTTAATAACTGATTGTTTAAAAAGTGGATCTGTATGTTCCAAATAACTGCCTTTAAGTTTAATTCTTATTATATTGATGGAGGCGTTTACTTTAACATTTAAATCTAACTTTTTATAACTCAAAAGCTGATGCACGAGGTTCCTGCTCTGCCTGGAAAAGATGGAAATTTATTTTTAGTATTTCTTGGGTTTGAATAAGTAAAAGAAACAGAATGAATAAAAAATTATGATTTGAATTTTTTTTTCATTTTCTAAAAGATAAAAATCCACTTTTTCTTCTGAAACAAGCAGCTCTTCATCCTGCTGATAAAAAAATACATTTAATAAACAGACTTTTTAATACAAACTGTTAGTTTTTAAATATAAACTTGACACCAGTCATTTAGTTCCTGTAAATTTAAGTTTTTTTTACTTTGATGTAAAAAAAATTACCTGGTAAATCAGAATTTTCTGCTGTGAACCTGACTGCTGCTSCCCCTCAGGCCCAGCTGGTGGTTCTGTGCGTTCCCGTACAGCTTCCTCATCTTTGTTTACGACGAGATACGAAAACTCATCCTTCGCCGAAACCCCGGAGGTRAGAGGACGCGCGAACACGAAAACACCGTTCTTCCACCAGTCTCTTTGTTCACGTCTTCTGCTTCTTCTCTTCTTCTCTTGTTTCTCTGCAGGCTGGGTGGAAAAAGAGACGTACTATTAAATTATCAAAACATCATTTACTGAACTCATCCTCTCCTCTTCCTCCTCCTCCTYCTCCTCCTCTCCATCCGTCTCTCAGAAAACTGTTTACTTCCTCCTCACCCATCTTCATCTCCTAAAAGATTCAAATAAAAAAAAAACAAAGATGACGAGGGGACCAACATGAGAGGGGACGGTTGGGGGCGGAGTCAAACCCTCCCCCCGCCGTCCTCTCAGTCTTTACAGCACGACTCTGCCAGTAACAGTTTGTGCCGATGATTGTTGTTATTATTATTATGTCACAGTAAATCTAGAAGAAAGAATAAAAACGTGACTGTTTGGCTGCAGAGCCACAACGCGGCAGTTCCCGTCAGAACCCGGGCCGGGCCGGGCCGAAGGGGGCCGCCGTGGTTCTGCTGCTTTAAAAAAACAAAAAAAAAAAAAAAAAAACTGCCCGGATCAGCTCTGTGATCACTGCCATTTCCTGCCTCCTATTTACTCACTGCCAGATCTCACTGCCGTACTCTTCATCCCCCCCCTCCCCCTGTGGTTTCTCTGTGTTAATTGTTTTCTAATACACAACTGTGTGTTTTTTAAAAACTAAATTGTAAAAGTTTAAGTTCTTATTTTTAAGTTGAAGTGGGTCTGAGAGCTGCTTGATTTCATTTGGACATGACAAAGCACACCTCTTCGTCTCCTCCTCCTCTTCCTCTCTCACATCTTTACCCAACACCCTGAGCCCCCCCGTCTATCTGTCCCTGTTCGTCTGTCTGTGAACGCTGTGAAAACCTCCGTC